GTTGTTCATTGTTTAACCGTTTAATCGATACTCTTGTTTACTGGCCAGTTCGAGCATTTCCAACAACTATTTTGCTCATTTTTTCTCTCTCAAAGGAACAAGCATTAGTAAACCATAAAGTCATCCTAATCAGAAGAATCCCCCGGCCAAAGTTCTCGAATTTATTCCACGTGAATTTGAAAAAGAAAATGCAAGACGAGTATGAAAGTTTGATAACGTTACGAAATCGAAACTTCTAATGGTCAAGTCTCACTGAGAAAATACAACTATTCTGAGTACTTAGGAGACATACTACACCCCTACTAAGAATACAATTGGAACTGGCCTACGCAAGTGCTTGAATGCTCTTATAACTAACTTAATATCTCTAAGGATCCCAGAAATGTTTAAGATAGAATTCTACCAAATCTCTGCATTCTAACCCTTGAAAAAACCAGGGAAATTGCTGCATTCAAATAACAGAAAGCAAGTACATTTATTGCACGCCGCTCCACCTTGCCCAGTCCACAAACTGCATCCCACCGTAGATATTGTTGGCAAATCGTACACCAAATGTAAAAACCAAAGCAACTGGAGGTACTTGCTTTGCCAATGGAGATGCTTCTACCAAGCGCTCCAAACCATTTATAACCTGATAACGGGTGTTGGAAGAGACTGCAAGAAAAACGCCTGCAAAAGTGGATAGGAAACATCTAATTAGTGGAACAGAAATGATGGGTTACAGTCAAAATGTCCTAAAATATTATCGCTTACAAAGACCAGTAACACTTACAGACAGCTGAAAACCAAAGTTAAGATTGATTCAGGTACAGGCAACACACAGCAGGACCATAAGTGTCAATAAAGTGGATAATAGATCCATATGCAAGCAAATTTAGCATGCATAAGGAAAAGGTACAGCCACAACTTATAAAGCCCACAAGCCAAAACACTTGGTAACTTAACTCATCCATTACTGAAGTATAAATTTAACAGGGTGCATCATGGGCCTCCCCACCAAGTGATTGACACCACAAGGTTGAACCTAAGACGTAGTTTACTATGTCTAGGGCTGAAGAAATCAATTATTTTTGTTAAGATGGCCACAAATGCCCAGCTATATGTCAAGGGCACACAGTTAAGAAAAACGCCGCAGCCTGCATCTATTATATCAGATTCATATTCACCCATTTAACACCAGGTTGAGCAAAATGGCCACGACGACTGACATCTGAAATTTTGAAGCTAGCAATCTACTTTTCAGGCCACACAGATGCAGGCAGGAAAAAAAAATCAAGAACAATGCAGTGAGTCATACCCCAGAGTGCTGCACTCTTCAACAGAGGTGGAACGGGTATGTCCTCTTCTGATTTCTTTATACTCCTGTTGTGCAGAAACAGCATATGATGAGAAACAATTTACAGCAAGCAAACATATATTAACACTAAAGTGGATATGCAATATTCCTTCAGTGCCAAAGAACAGAGAAAACGATAAATAAAAAACAAACAAGCAGCATAACAGCTTGATTTCCACCGTAGTGCAATCCATGCACAAGAGGGATGGTTTCCTACTGTAATCTTTCAAGCATTATAAAAGCTAAAACTGCAGTCTGAACAATTGAAGACCCATGTCATTATAGTTGATAGCAAGGAGCACGTAATTAAAAATAACATAAATCTATACAATCACATTCAACTTCAAATACATACTGATGATGCACAAATTAGTTTGCACACCACTAGTCAAGTTATAGTATAAAATGCAGTAAGTAGAATGGGAGAGAAGACAAGATTTATAGTGGATCGGTCAATACGACCTATGTCCACTTTGAATGGCTAGGTTGCCGGAATTTTATTATCTCCGGTGTGGAGGAAGAGCACATGATTACAAACTTTGAGAGGGGAGAAAAGAATTATGCTCAAATGAGTCTGATGCCCCCCAAGTGTCAGAGAAGCTTACAATTTATAGTGGTTTGACGTAGTAATTGTATGACTATTCTGACGATCATTATGGCTTAGGACCGTTTGATAGTAATTAGGTAGTTGATCCGGCGGAGGCAATCTATCATCTTCTCAACGGGCGAGGTGTGACGGTTGGTGTGCTCTCCAAAGGACTTGGTCAAGGATGAGGGAGGTTGACTCTCTCCAGGCTGCGAGGGTGAGGCTCTTGAATGCTCATTGGTGGCGTAGATGAGGCTCTTGGATGACCCTTACTCCAAGGTGGTAGAAGAGGCTCTTGGATGACCGTGCATGCTCCCCAGCTGATGTAGCTCCTTGATCTTGATAAGGTTATCCGAGTGTGAACTCCTTTGGGCTTTAACTAGCTGTATCTCTTGGAATTGGGCCTTTAGCTCGGACCAGACTTATAACATGGGTTGGGCCTTTGGGCCTGGCCCATCATTTGCCCCCCAATGCCCTACATCCAACAGAACTTGGAAAGGAGGGCATTTAAGTTGAATTTGAATTTTCGGCTGACCGGCATAACTAAAAAAATTTCGGGAGGCCAAAACATCCGTTTATAGGCCTTTTTTGGACTTTTTTTGAAAAGCTCATTACCATAGATAATGAGTTTTGCTCAGCTCGTCGAGAGTTTCGATTTAATATATAATATGTCCCGTTTTAACTTACATAAAAAAATTTACGGCCAAAATAGCGAGCAGACGCTGGGCACGATTTTGGGCGAGCAGGCACTGCTCTGGACGACCATGCAGCTGAGCACGCTGTTTTGGGCGAGCAAAAGGCCTTTGGCGCCTTTTGGGATACTGACTTGAGGAACTTGGGCGAACAAGAGGCCTTGGGCGAGCTGGAGAATTGTCTAAGTGCCACTCCAAGTCGTCTTGAGGAGCAGCCTACTCGCGTAGGAGGGGTGGTCTGGCGTGGAGATGGGAAGGCTGGCGCCAAGAAGGGCCTGGGCGAGTAGGCGACATCACTGTGCGTTGCTACAGTTCGCGAAGTAGGTGAGGGGGCTGCTCGAGTCTTCATGCATGCTGGCCTGCACACTGGGCATGGTGATCTGGTCCATTAGGCGCCTAGGGGCGCTGATCTTAGTGAGCAATAGGTGAGGGGGCTGCTCGAGTCTTCATGCATGCTGGGCGTGCTAATCTGGTCCATCAGGCGCCTAGGGGTGCTGATCTTGGTGAGCAGGGAGGTGTAAAGAAGGCTGGTCTTGGCATGAAGGCATCAAGAGACGCCATTTTAGGCGAGCACAAATGATTGGGCGCCTGCAGGACTACTTCGCTTGTACGAGCATAGGGGGCCAAACACCTCTTTAGGCACTGGGCTGCCCATTTGGGAGAGCAGAGGGGGTCAGGCGCCTCTCTAAGCACTGGTTTGAGTAGTGCAAGTTATAAGAAAATTTTGGGTGCCACTTTTGGTGATGATTCGAGGAGTTCAGGTAGTCAAGGAGTTTTGGATGCCCTTGTAGGAAGTTCAGTTCTCACCCATGCTGGCGGGGTTGCCCAGGAATTTCTTGGCGAGCCTGGTTCTGGAGCCCAGGGGTAGAGTATGGCAAACACTTTTAGCAATGATGGTCCAGCTCCTCTCAATGCACCTTCTCAAAATCAAATTCTTCCATGATATTCTGAGGATTGTTTCTGCTTATCACATCCCCCAACAGTTCTATGTCGCCGAGCTGAGATGGGTGAACCTGCTTATGATGACAAAAAATAATGTTATTCCAAACATTAAAATATTTAACATGATTACCTGAAGAGAGAGGCAGGCTATTTGCGCGAGAGCAAGACAGAGTTTGAGGATTGCTCGTGAGAGAGCTACACCTTTTGAGACCGAATTTTTGGCGACCCATGAGAGAGTCTTTAAGCTTGAGGTATAGGCTACTTGCTTAAAAGCAGAGAAAATGCCAAGCTTTTTTGGCGACTCGTGAGAGAGCAGGGAGATAGACTGCTTGTTTGAGAACAGTGCAGAGGTCAAGTTTTTTTGGCGACCCGCAAGAGAGCCGCTAAGTTGGAGATAGGCTGCTTGTTTGAGAACAGTGCAGAGGTCAAGTTTTTTTGGCGACCCGCAAGAGAGCCGCTAAGTTGGAGATAGGCTGCTTGTTTGAGAACAATGCAGAGGTAGGCAAGCTTTTTGGCGACCCTCGAGAGAGCCGCTAAACTGGAGATAGACTACTTGTTTAAGAACAGTGTAGAGGTAGACCAAGCTTTTTGGCGACCCTCGAGAGAACCGCTAAGCTGGAAATAGACTATCTGTTTAAGAACAGTGTAGAGGTAGGCCAAGCTTTTTGGTGACCCTCGAGAGAACCGCTAAGGCTGGAGATAAATTACCTGTTTAAGAACAGTGTAGAAGCAGGTCAAGCTTTTGGCAATCCGTGAGATGATTCACCTCGCCTGGACTTGTTGATTTCCTCAGCATTCATAAATTTTTGAACTTTTGTCAATAGTTCTGGCATGCTCTTTGGTGGGCGTTTCATCACGAAGAAAAGGAAGCTCGATGACCAAAGGCCTCCTAAGAAGGCAGTCATGCTGACTTTTTCATCGGGCTATTCGACCTGAAGGACCTCCTCATTAAAACGAGTGAGGTAGCTTCGCAGGCTCTCATCTCGGTCCTACTTTATGCTGAGCAGGTGGGTGGCAGGCTTCTGGTGACGGCGTCCTCCAATAAAGTGCAACACGAAAGACCTGCTCAGCTCAGTAAATGAGCCGATGGAAGCGGGGGTGATCTTGGCGAACCATTGTCGAGCGGATCCCTTCAAGGTGGTCGGGAACGCTCATCAAAGGTTTCGACGGATGACATCTTGAATTTTGAAGGAGTGGGTAGTTCGCCACGTCAGGTTTGAAAGGTGTGTCGGTTCGACTTACAAGGTAATCCATTATCTCGGGTCCTCCTGCCTTTATGGCGTTGAAGACATCACCCAATTGATTCTGCACCTCCTTAATTTTTTCGTCCCAATAATTAGGAGGAGGTCCCTTGGAATTACCATGGATATGACTCCCATGCTCCAAGCTTTGGTTTTCACCCTCGTCCTCTTGGAAAAAAGGGTCTCCATCATGAAAAAAAGGAGCTGGAAGTGGAGGTGGAGGTCCCTTGTGGGGAGCTCCCTGTGCAGGGCGCCTGAGGAGGCTCCAAAGGGGGCGCTCAAATGAGGAGCACCCATGTGGGGAGCTCTTTGACGCCCAGGGCGTGGAGCTCCTTTGACTTGTGGTCTAGGTTGTGCTCTTCCTCCTAGATAAGGAGCACCCATGTGGAGAGCTCCTTGATGCCCAGGGCGTGGAGCTCCTCTGACTTGAGGCCTAGGATGTGCTCCTCCTCCTAAATGAGGAGCGCCCATGTGGAGAACTCTTTGACGCCCAAGGAGCATTAGTTGTAGGATATGTTGGTTCTGGGCCGCAAGTTACTGCATGGTCTTGAGCATCTGCTGCTCATTTGGGGCAGGATTGGTTGGTTGAGGAGCAACCTCCTCCTCTCTTGGTGGTGGGTTATCTTCAGGCTGATTCATGGATCTGTTGGTGATCGACTTTGACTCAGCAAAGAAAAGTGGCTAGGTGAGAACTGTCGTTCCAAAGACGGCGCCAAACTGATGATGCACAAATTAGTTTGCACACCACTAGTCAAGTTATAGTATAAAATACAGTAAGTAGAAGGGGAGAGAAGATAAGATTTATAGTAGTTCGGTCAATACGACCTACGTCCACTTTGAATGGCTAGGTTCGCCGGAATTTTATTATCTCCGGTGTGGAGGGAGAGCACATGATTATAAACTTTGAGAGGAGAGAAAAGAATTATGCTCAAATGAGTCTGATGCACCCCAAGTGTCAGAGAAGCTTATAATTTATAGTGGTTTGGTGTAGTAATTGTATGATTATTCTGACGGTCATTATGGCTTAGGACCGTTTGATAGTAATTAAGTAGCTGATTCGGCGAAGGCGATCTATCATCTTCTCAACGGGCGAAGTGTGATGGTTGGTGTGCTCTCCAAAGGACTTGGTCAAGGATGAGGGAGATTGACTCTCTCCAGGCTGCGAGGATAAGGCTCCTGGATGCTCCTTGGTGGCGTAGAGGAGGCTCTTGAATGACCCTTACTCCAACGTGATAGAGGAGATTCTTGGATGACCGTGCATGCTCCCCTGTTGATGTAGCTCCTTGATCTTGATAAGGTTATCCGGACGTAGACTCCTTTGGGCTTAACTAGCTGGATCTCTTGAAATTGAGCATTTAGCTCGGACCAGGCTTATAACATGGGTTGCGCCTTTGGGCCTGGCCCATCACATACTAAATACTAGAATTTGAACTTACCGGCCGTTGTTACAACAACAAACAAAACATTCACATAACCACTCAATGCAATAGAACACTAAGGTTGTTCCTGTTGCTAATCTAATCAATCATTCAAAGCACACAAGACAAGGGAAAAAACTTGCATCCAGAGCATGAAAAGGTTGTGGTGAACATAACCTACAGTGAAGTTTTGCTAATAGTCTTATTCTTGGTGAGCTTGTCCTTGGTGCAGCTGCTTGTCCTACTCTTTTCAAAGGAGTGGCAGAAAACTCAACAAAACTGATAGCAAAAGAAAAGCAAATCATAGTGAAAAAATCAAGCCTATGCTTTCCTGGTAGCAAGATCCCCTTTTGGTCTAATCAACTGCTCCAAATCCAACTGACCACCTGGATCAAACTTCCAAAGATTTTTTCCTCGTGTTGGCATTAAAGCATATAGAACATTATGAGGAAAGACTCTAAAACTTAAAAGGATACAAATTTAACACTAGAACAAACAAGCCAATCTATTTTATGGTTTGGGGTCTGGGCAATATCCACAGAAATCAAAGAAAGCTTACTCATACTTCAATCATAATTCTAACTAGTTGTATATAAGAAAAAGAACCTAAGCTAATCTCTCAACTCTCAATTTTTATGATTAAGCGGCATTTATTGACATTATTGAGGGCGAATGAAACATCAGGAAACTGCAGTGAAAATTTTTATGCTCACAGAATATATATGTTTGTACCAACCAACCAAACCAAACCTTATGTGTTTATGCATAATCAAATACACATCGGGTTTATGCGTATGGATGTATGGAGGACATGGCCACACAAAATTATACCGCTTGGCAGTCATTATCAAATTTGCAATGCCTTGACCAATTATACCACATCCAAAGCCAACCAATCCATACAGTACGCCCTGAAAAATGTAGGTTAGTCATAGATTAGTCTTCACTGGACTCAAGGAAGTGTAAAGAAAGGAAAAAATAGTAAAAGTCTCCAGCAAAAATAAAGGATATATGCACGCAGCACCTACGATTCAAGTACTCAGGAAATTAGCCTGTTATATGACAGATGTATGATGCAATGTAACCCTGTTACCTTATAAAAGTAAGTAGCAATTCTCTGATTCACAGTAAATCTACATCCGGGCCTCTCAGCTTCAAATACACTGCATCAGATGGGCAATTGAAGAGCTAAGTTGCCTATATCCTCAAGACACAAAGGAAGAGAGTCGTGGAATGACGTGCACAACTACCATGCTATCATGTAAGGCTAAGCCATTACAATGTATGAGAATGCAAGCAAGTTATACACCGGAAAAGAATTATATATGTACTGGCAAGAACTCAAAACCTGCTAGGCAGAGCCCCATAAGCGCGCTGTATGTGTCCAAGGAAACCTTGAGATACAGACACTTGACCAATTCGTGCATAGGGTGCTAGCATACCAACCAAAGCAACATTAACAACCACCCCAACCAAAAGATCTGCAGCATACAACTCAAATTCTGCCCAGAAATCTTTGCCCCTCTTTTGTACTTCAGCGAATGTTGCGCAACAAGAATCAATAACTATCTGCATCAGGAAAATTGATGGCGATGAAAAATGAATGTTAAACACCACTGACAGTGGTAAAAAAGGTAGGAGGTGCAACCAGTCATGGATGACCCTATCTACGCATGACCATAGTAGCCCCTACTGGTGAAGAACCAATGACAGGAGAGGTCTAGGACTCTAGAAGGGAGAAACCAAGTGCACTCCCATCAAGCTGGTTGAGCTATTGCCTGACCCTAGTCCCACCAAAGGCCAATACCGACAACACAGGAGTAGGACACCATAGCCCCCGAATCTCGAACCCTTAACTACCTGACCTCCCGAGGAATTCACTTGCAATGCTTTTCTGACCAGACCCTAGTGCCTCAAAACATTATATAAATTGGACACAAGGGCGGAGCCAAAAAAAATTTCTTGGGTGGGCACACTCTAACTACACGATTCAATTTTTTATTCCAATAAATAAAAATAATGCGACACATTTGTATCTTCAACATCATATTTGTTAGCAAAAAATTCATTAAATACAAAAGAGTTAAAAAAAAAAAACAAAATACATAGACTATGCAAACAAAAAACACGAAGAAAAATATTTAATTATTACTCTTTACAAAAAAAGGGGCTAATTATACCTTCCAAACAAAATGGGGCTAATTATAATCATTTAAATTTGAACCCGATGAATTTTTATTCTTAAAAAACGTTGCATGATAACTTCATTATCAATGTTATTAAAATATATTTCTTTATATAAAAAAAAAATTAATCATGATATTTGTCATTCATTGAACTCTTCACAACTTTTATTGTTAAAAATCACAATCGTAATTGGTAATATTAATGTCAAAAGTCCCAAGTAAATAAACTAGTGGATATACCATATCTTTTTTTGTCTCAACCTTTTTTGTGAGCAAGATCACAATTTGCCACAACATGACCCTATTTGTTTGGCTTTAGCTCTAGACTACATGTGTTTTGCATGGATCTATGTCAATTTTTTTTTTTTGCATTGAGGGTGGGCCTTCATTGTTAAAAATCTCTTCACAACTTTTATTGTTAAAAATCACAATCGTAATTGGTAATATTAATGTCAAAAGTCCCAAGTAAATAAACTAGTGGATATACCATATCTTTTTTTGCCTCAACCTTTTTTGTGAGCAAGATCACCATTTGCTACAACATGACCCTTTTTGTTTGGCTTTAGCTCTAGACTACATGTGTTTTGCATGGATCTATGTCAATTTTTTTTTTTTTTTTGCATTGAAGGTGGGCCCTAATGTAATAAAACTAAAAAAATATCAAAAATACAAATAGGTTAAATAAAAAATCTCAGGGTGGACATATGCAACCCCCCCCCCGCGGGCGCACCCAAACAACTTCAACAGGCCTGCTTCTACTCATACAAAGTAGGCAATCCAACAAGGCTACTTCGCAAATAAACATTCCTATCAAAGTACTAGACAAACGATAATACCTAATTGGCAGAAGTAGATCAACTGGCTACATGGGTGTTCAGTATTTCATGGGGGCTGATAACAGCAAACCTTTTCATAAGAGTCAGCTCAATAAGCAATTATATCTACTATATGCCCAGATAGAGAGCTTTCACAACAATTACACTGAAGTGTAGCAAACCTCTGTTCCAATTTTGAAAAGAAACGATGGATCAACCAACATTCGGTTCCGAAGCATAGAACATGACCTCATTGCAAATCCCAGTGGCCACACTGACCCCTACATTAGAAAACAAATATAAAAAAAACAGCCATTATCACAGCCGTTGTGAAGAAGTGGTGCAAGCATTGCACACTACAAGTTGCTAAATTGAATGTGTCGACATTTAACAAAAATTACCTGCAAGTCCAAATATCTGAGCAGAAGCAATCTGCGAATCCCCACACTCTTTGCAGCCTCTAACATATCAGCAGGAAGAGTAGCCCCTCTAGCTTCAATTTCTCTAATCACCTCCTCAAACTTCAGAATAGGCCCAAATTCATTTTCCTCATTGTCATCTCCACCACCAGCACCACCTCCTCCTCCCCCATTGCCACCACCGCCACCGCCACCGCCACCGCCACCACCATTATGACTTTTTGGTTCGTTGTTTATCTCCAGAATCCTAATATCCTTCCCTAGAGAAGAACTGTCCCTTTCATTTGAAACTGGGGTCCTTACTACACCAGATTTCATGACCATAAACAGTCTTTTTATCTTCTTATACAGAATAGGTGTACTATTTCTTACATTATTCAAGACTTGAACTTTAACAACCATCACATTCCGACTCCGAGGCGTCCTCAATATAACCTCGTTTTGCAAATTCACAAAGTGTGATAATCCAATCCCCGATGAACAACCCGCCATTTCACTCACAATAGCTCAAAAGTAAATCCAATTAAATAAGACCCAGTTAATATCTTCCAGAAAAGCCGACGAATTGAAGAATTTTCAGAAGAGAGACAGTAATTTTTAAGACTCGCTTTCAGTGGAGAGGATGAAGACTAAAAAACTAATACTTGAGAAAGAGGTTCGAACTTTTGAGGATGGCTATGCTCATCTCTGTAACTTTCTGGGAAAATGAAGGAAATTTGTAGGGAAAATGAGTTTTAACTCTGTTTTCTTACGAGTGAAACTTGATATAAGCAGCCTTTGAGTCTCAGACTCCGAAAATCATACACATGTAAAGAATGAAGTGAATGGAAAGTGCAGAGTAAACCTGAGAGAGAGAGAGAGAGAGAGAGTCGCTGTACTCTCTTGAATCTGAATTTTTCTCTCTCTCTCTCTCTCTCATCTGGGGGGTTGTACGTGGGGAACAGCTGTGGTGCGGCGAGACGATTAGGGTTTTAATGAGTAGTATGGCTTGTAATTACAATCGAGCTAGGCTTGTGTGCTCGAGTTCATTTTTTCAAATTGGTTTAAAAAAAATTTTAAGTTCAATTTATTTAAAAAATAGGTTTAATTTCAAACGAACAGACCTCGACTTAAGTTCAAGGAGCTCTTATTCGAATTAAAATCGAGTCGAAGTCAAATAATTTGATTTTAATTATTAATTTTATTTTTGAGTTATTTATTATCTTACGATAATTTTAAAATAAATTTACTAAATTATTATATATTTAAATTTATTTATCAAATTAAAATACTTTTTAAAAAATGGGATTATTAATTTCATTTTTATTAAAAACTATTCGTTGTTTCACTCAATGTAAAATTAGACTGTTAAGTGCAATAAATTCACTTTTAAATGCGGGGGTTATTGGCTCCCCCTTTTAAAAAGCATCGTATTTTAATATATAAATTTAAAAATATCGTATTTTAATAAATATATTTTAAAATTATTTAACTCTTTGATTGGTGCCCACACCTCACGCTGTGCGTAGTTTACCAACCTAACTGACTGGTCTACATTCTCCAGCAGAATGGTCAAGCCAACCGCCAACTTAGACTACCATCAGGAATCTTTAGAACCATCCTATTGAATTTATGGTAATGGTGAAATTTTTCTGAAATACTCTATGACGAAGACACGTGTTCTTGGTATTATAAAATACTGTTGCTAAGATTAAGTACTATCGGCGCGCAAAAGTCCTCGCCCCCGAGGTACTCGTCATATAGGATCATGGCATTCAGTACGTTTTACAACCAACACGTAGCCTCGGTCTGATATGGTACCTCGGTCGGTATCCCTCCCTCGGTTCCGAGATGAGCCTTTCCTCGGTGCCGAGGTGTACCCCGTCCTGGACGCCTCCTCTACTCCAGGATAAGCTATTGACGAACAGATCATTAGCCTAGGCTATTCATCATGACCTCGTCTTACACAATCAGTGTCAGAACGTACAAGAATACAGGGGCTACAGCCAATGGAGGATGGACGCGTGGCAAATGATATCACATCGAAGACAGAGAAAACGCATATCGTTGCTGACACGCGACTTGGGAAAGCAAACAATTAATTGCACCATTCCCTTGATGAGACCGCATTCAATGCGGTAAGGCTCGGAAATGAAAGGCAATAAATGCTCCTAATACAGAGCATTTATTGCATCCTCCCCGAGAGGAGTACATTGTACCGTCGGCATCCCGATGACCCAGCATTGATTGCTCGGGACCCCGAGCAGTTAAGAAGAGAAGACATTCCTCATCAGAATCAGTGCGCACACTGCCTGTACCTAATGATCACCTACTGACTACACTGACAGCAATCATGAGCTTTTGAGGTATAAATACTCCTTGCAAAAGGCAAGACCGGTATGCAACAAAAAACTCTCTACTACAATACACACTCAGTGTTTTCTCCTTCCTCTCTCTCTCTCAAAGACTGACTAGATCGTTGGAGGGGATACGCCGGAAAACACTCCGGCGCCCTTCTAACTTGTTCCTCTTTGTTCCAGGAACCTCTTCCAGCCTTACTGGATCATTCTTCCGCTCCCCCAGGGTCTCCCGTTGCCGTTCCAGGTTACCACCGGACCTCGCAGGCTGTTCCAAGCAGCGTGGTTGGTCACTCAACTGGCTCACTCGAAGTTCACCAAGGGAGAGATCTGTTCTCATTTTTTATATTGTGCAGGATCTTGCACGCAAAATCTGGCGCCGTCTGTGGAAAACTACTAGTTTTCCTACCAATGGTGAACACTCGACAGAAAGGGAAAGGACCCCACCAAAGGAGTCTCGAGTTACAAGCTCCCTGTCATCATGGAGGGAGGGATCACACCAATACGAATAAAAGTGCCTCTACTCGGTCAAGAGGGGTTACCCCTCAAACCAGTATGAGAATCAGGTCAGGGGGATCAGCCCCCTTGGCTCGTCAGCTGGCGGAGGTGATTGAAGAAAAGTTTGGCGATAGATTACGTCAGCTGAAAAAGGACAATGTAAACGTCCTAAGCCGGCTCAACGAGTTCGCCGCTTCTGGCGAAGGGTCGAGGGATTCATTCCTTTCTCATGGGCTTCCCCGCCCGGGAGGCAGAAACGAAGGATCTAAGAAACCACCTAAACAACAAAGCAGAAAGCTCTAGGGCCCCGAAGCGACCCAGAGCCGACGAGCATCATCATGACAACCATTCAAGGAAAGAAAGGCCATTGACCCTGGACGACCTCCGGCGAGGTTTGTCTAGACGGAGGAAGGGAGATGAATCCGAGGAGGACTCAACCCAATCCACAAGACGCCCAGGAAATGAGGGGCTCACCGACGAACTCAAGGACTTCAGAAGGCATCCCGTCAGGGAAGAAATTGATCTCAGAGCCCGGTTAGACTCTAGGAGAAAGGGTAAGGCTGTCCAGGATGAGGCCGAGGACGAAGTCATACAAACACCCTTTACGAGGGAGATCGGTGAGATGGAGGTTTCAAGAAATTTTGTCGTGCCGCGGTTCAAAACTTATGACGGGCGGTCCGATCCCGAAGCCCATGTCAGGCAATACAAGCAGATGATGTCCCTCTACCATTCGGACCAACGGTTTCTCTGTCGAGTGTTTCCTATGAGCTTGGGGGACTCTGCGATGAAGTGGCTCGAGGCGCTTCCCCCCAACAGTATTGGGTCCTGGAAGGAATTGACTAAGCAGTTCCTGGCTCGATTCATTACGGGGAATAAGCGCCCCAAGGACATTGGATCATTGCTGACCCTCAGACGGAGGGAATCCGAGACTCTTCGCCAGTACGCCATCCGATACTGGGAAGAGGTCAATGAGGTAGAAGGCTGCTCGGAGGTCATGGTAGCAGCGTCGTTCCGGCTCGGCTTGGCAAGGGATACGGACTTGTACCGATCCCTGACCAAGAAGACTCCCTCGAATATGGGGAAACTAATGGCCCAGATAAACAAATACTCGAGGATTGAGGACGAGATGGGAAGCAGCAAAGGCCGAACACTCCAATCTAAGAGAAAAGAGAATGAGCGAGAAGATATTCCCCGAAAGGGATTGCTGCCCCCTCCAGGGGGTCCGTCCAAAGGAATTCACACTGTGTTCAAGGAACCCATCTTCAAGCTGCTCCATAAAATCAAGCACGAGCCTTTCTTCAAATGGCCGCCCAGGATGCAGAGCGACCCCTCCACCCGTGATCAAAAGGTTAGGTGTTCCTATCACCGGGATTTCGGGCATCGCACCGAAAGCTGCAGGGTGTTCAAATCGTTCTTGGAAAGATTGGTCCGAGACGGATATTTGAAAGAGTACATAGAGCCCAGGCCAGAAGAGAGACAAGCCCTTGCCCCGACCGAGGAGCCGGACAACATCATAGATGTCATCCATATATGTCCCCTGGATCGCCCCACGTCCAAGGAACTCGAGTCCGACCTCAAGAGAGTAGCTTTTACAAGGAAGGTAGCCGAGGTTGATGTAGGGCCACCAAGTAAAAGGGCCAGGACGGGTGAGCTTGGCATTACATTCTCCGACGCGGATTTGACAGGCGTAGTGACTCCTCATAACGACGCCCTTGTCTTGACCCTGAGGATAGGAAATTCGATGTCAAAAGGATTTTGATAGACTCTGGAAGTTCCTCGGAGGTGATGTACTCCGAAACTTTAAAACGGATGGGTCTTGGCCCCAAAGACCTCACCAAAGTCAGGACACCCCTCATCGGATTCAACGGCTCGTTCGCCCTGCCCGTGGGAAAAATCACATTGCCAGTTGTCACAGGTCCCTTTGTCATCGACACCGAGTTTGTCGTGATCGATACGGACTCTCCCTACAACGTGATTATGGGGCGAACATGGCTGCATGCGTTGGGAGCGGTGCACTCCACTTTCCACCAGAAATTAAAATTCGTCACGCCAGAGGGTATCATGGAGATCCGGGGGGACCAAGCGTCCGCAAAAAATTTTTTTATTCAGCCGTTCGAGCCGGGGCGTTCAGCCAGGAGAAGGGGCGAGCACCGGAAGAGATTATGGAAAAATAGCAATTACAGTCCGGGCGTCCAGGAATGGATGACCCCCGGATAGACCCAACTGAGCGGTCGGTAGAAGACCTCCGGAAGGTGCCCTTGGTAGAGGGAGAAGAAGAGAGGTATTTCTTAGTTGGGACCTCGATGCCCACAGCCGAACAGGAGGAGATGATCGAGTTCCTAAGGGAAATACAGACGTGTTCGCGTGGAACGAGATGGAAATGACGGGGGTAGACCCCGAGATAATCACACACAGGCTGCATGTTGACCCGTCGCACAAGCCAGTCAAACAGAGGCCACGACGCATGGCCCCGC